AAAAAAAAAAAAAAAAAAAAAAAAAAAAAAAAAAGGCTGTGACAGTGGAACTAAAAGAGGGGTGGAGAAGGTTACGGGGGAACAATTCCGGCACGGTAGGAGGAGTAGAGAAAGGGAGTTTGCTGTAGAGATGTTGCCGCCACCGTTGTTGGCGTTGATAACGGTGAAACGACTAAAGTGCCGAAGTAGAAAGAAAAAGGAAGAACAAGAGATGTTATTCTTTGTGGGATCACAGTCCTGAGGATCAAAAAATATGAGTTGAATGACGGCTAGTTTTGTGCATACTCATTACAAAGCCCATTGTGCGCAATTTTGATTTCTTGTCTCATTGCATAGCTAATTAAGTTATCCTACTGAGAATTCAGCCTGCTTTTCAGTCTTCCCATGTTTTTCTTTGTTTTCAACTTCAGAAGGGAATTTTATTTTTTTTCTTTTTTTTTATGTATGCGTCTTCATTTATTTTTTTTATTATTTTTTTAAGCTATTTTTTAAACTCATAATGTTGTCCAGTCAAAACGAATAGAAACATAGTTTAAATTTTTATTGTACTTACTGTCAACACATTTGGGAGCTTTTTTACTGTTTCAGACATTTTTTACAGATGAAATTGGTTTATAGCTAGTTTTCAATCATTACTTTTTTCAGTTTTATTCATTTACTTTTTTTCTTTAGTCGTTTTTTTTTTTTCTGTTATTTTTCTCCTAAACTTCTATTTATAATCTTTTTCTGAGCACTCTACGGGGAAGCAACGGCGGCATATTGTAAATGTAAATGCTTGTGCCATTTTTCGTAGTATTTGTAAATTCGGTTCTGTAATGTAGATCATTGAAAATCGTGGTTTCTGTTTGAAGATTAATCTTTCGAAAATCATGAAAGCTGCAGTGATGCGACTTTCAAATAGCACGTAAACAGCACTAGAAAATATCTGCTTACCATTCTTAGTGCGGAGAATGACGATGAATGTACTTTTTTAAACGCTAATAGGATCTGCAAATGAAAGATACTCTTTTTGTAAATCTCTCTTCGGAACAGTTACTTCTTATTTCTTTGAAATTTCCTAGGATTCGCTACAAGACAAACTGATCAGTTTTAAAGACGTTTAAAGAAAGTAAAGTTCTTCAAAAATGCTATAGAGACTTATGCGGAAAATCCGTAGTGCTCTGTGGTGAATTTTTATCCAAGAATAAAAGAGGCATCTGAACGGTCCGGATTTTGTTGCTGGTTCCAAAGTTGCGCGAGCCAACTTGGGCACTTCGGTAATTAAGCAATCATGGGGTTTGTTTCTGTCTTATAGGTTTCTTTTATTCTTCTAGCCTGCAGTTGGAGTAAATGAAGCTTTTCTGCTCTTCTCTATTTTTTCTCTGCTCTTGTTGTTATCTGATTTGGTCGGGGGAAAATAGAAATGAAAACTGAATTAATTGTTATGCTGCTATTGAACATCGTAAAAAATTAGGCAATGGTTAATTCATGTGCATTTCGAGTCTTTTTCAATAACTGCACAATTTTTCCAAATGATCACCCCGTTCTTTTTCCCCCATCTCCCTCTTCGACCTTCCATCCTCCTTGTCATTATTCTCGTCCTTCTTCCTGGGTTCTCTTCAAACGACTGCCACAACACTTCAACAGCGATATGTATCTGCAGTCTCAGATTTGTTGTTGTTTCCCTTGTTGCGATTTATGTATGCCTAAGTAAGGATGTTATCAGAGCTTATAAAAGGGAAGAAACATGAAAATCTTTTATTTTTCGCTAAACTTTATTAAAATCGACACTAATAGCAACAACAATAACATCAACGTCAACAACAACAACAACAACAACAACAGCAACGACAACTACAACGACGATAACGACAAAAACAGCAACAAAATCAACGATGACAACAACAACACGCTATATTAAGAAGCACATTTTTTTGTTTTAATAAAAATGAATTGTTTGGGGATAAAAAAGAGAACTTTTTTTTAGTGACAGTAAAGCATTGCTTTCACCGTTTTGTTTTAACAGCGCTTTTTTTTCCGCTGTTAGTTTTGCTTGAATGTTTTAGTGGAGA